ATATATATATATATATAACACAAACGAACAAAATTTTGTTCGTGTTTAGCTTGTTTATATTTCAAGCGCAAAAAAATTGTCCGTATTCGCAAAAAAAATTGTTCGTATTTGTCTCGTTTTCTTAGCGAACGAATCGAACACGAGCTTCTTAAAAAGCTGAACATGAGTTGTTTGTGAACAACAAGCTATTTTGACAGCCCTACTCCCGAATGAAAAAAATTATGGCACTTCCGTAATTTTCGGTGTTAGTCGCGATTATTCCATCAAGTCAGTCAACTATATATATGTATGTATATGTATGTATGTATGTATATGTATCTACCTATGTATGTATCTATGTATATATATATATATAGGGATAATTACATATGAACCCCATAAAATATTGATATTTAAAAATTAAGCACTCAGAGAAATTTTTTAAGCTACTGATGTGTTTGTGCGTGCCACGATGAAACTATTAAGAATTTGACAAAAAAAAAAAAAAATATGGGTTGAATTTTTCTAAAAAAAATTTTGATATTTGAGTAAAAATTTGAAAAATGAATGAAAGAGGTTGGTTGATTTTTAAATAGCAAGGTTTGATTGGTGTTTATGTAATTGCGCCCCTTTTTTTTAATGTAATAATGAGAGACGGTTTGGCTTACTACAGACCTAATCGTCTTGAAAAGAGGGTTCTCTTTCAGCCTTAAATCTTGTTTTGTTTCTATGTTATGATTGTATATGATTGTAGCCATCTTGAGCAGAAAAGGGAAATCTTGCTTCTTTATCTAGTGGAGGCACTCCTTGTAACTTCTTTCATTAGTGCTATTTTTCATGTGCCGTTTCATATTCTCAGATTTAGACTTTCTATTTGAGTTCTTATAGTTCTTACTTTTCAATCTATATTTAACTAAAAGGAAGAGTTGATTGACGTCCATGGATTCAAATCCTATCATTCTCACTACATGCTTCTGAGGTGAGATAAAGCGAGCATAGATAAAGAGTGGTATTTCTATTCATTCGGTTGCCCAATGCAAAAATGAATGGGGGTAGGAGAACAATGATTCTATTCAATTTGATATGAATATATAGATCTTCAGCTTTTACTAAACTTTGACACTAGTTGGTTTTCTGATTTCATTCATAAAACTTTTTTTTTTTTTTTCATTTGTGCTGGGCTTTTGCTATCATCGACCTCACAGACACTTATCAATCTTTTACACTTACGTTTTGAAGTCTCGCAAACAATATATTTTTTTCATAAAATATTATCCAATGTTTTCGAAGTGAGAGGAGGGAAGACACACTATCTCACTACAACTGCTCTTATAGAGAAATGCAAGAAATTTTTGTTTGACTTCATGAAACATGACAGGTGTAGTAGGTTTGGCTATTTCTGCTTGTTTAAGTTCAATTGAGATTTCATAGACAATGTATTTCTTTTAATATTGTTTTTTTTTTAAGTATCGAGCTATTAGGCAGATGAGATTGAGATACTTGTATTTCACTTCACTAGCTTCAATGCATATATAGATATGGGTTCAAGCTAACCAAACCAATCACGATGAAATTGTTTGAATGAAAGTTGGTCACACTCATTTTTTAACTTTTTTAAATAAATATTCTGTTTTTAAACCTCGATAAAGGCAGGGTTGATGGACTTTTTTTTCCCCTATTTTCTTTGAACTCATATTGGCCAAAGTGAAAGTGAAGGAAATAATAGGGAGATTCAGCATGGTGCTCACTGAACCTGGTATTGAGGGAGGATTCAAGGTAGAGGCAAAGCTTGGAAGTAGTCATAGAGCATATGTGGCCCTCGATGTCAAGTTGTAGCAAGCATATTTGGCTTCTTTCATTGCTTCTCCTTTCTTTTTCAAAAATCTGACATCCAATATAGGGAAAATTGACAGCATGCTTCAAGGGTTTCCTAACTCTTCCAAGTGCAACCAAGACCCTAATTTCATAATGAAAGACCTTTTAGAAGTGGAAAAATGGAAGCTAGACATCAAGGTTGTGGTTTAGTAAGGATAACTAAGCGTGTCACTAAGCTGACATGTTGGAAGTTGGTTACTAGCACAACAGGGTGATGTTGCACCGTAAGCGAATGCGGTAGCGTTTATGGTGGTGTTTTAGATTCCAATGTATTATGTCCAAGAAAAAAATGGCTCGTTGGAGCACCATTGTAGTCCATTCTTGAGTGAGCTAGCAGATCTCCTCTATTTTTAGAGGTCGATAGTTGAATATTTCATAATTTCTTTATGGTTAGAGCGTGCTAGGATAAAAGAATAGATGAATTTGTCTTAAAATTGGTTCTAAAATCAGACAAAGGCTGTAAGCAGTAGCATTCTAATCTTCCCAGACACTTTACTATTAATTATTGGAAGGTTAATGTTTTGTTAAGAACTCGCTAGGAGGATTTCATAGTCGATGAAGGGTCAAAATTTAATTTAATTAGCATTATCATGACACAATACCACTCATCTTGTGCCTTTGTTGTGCTTTATGCGAGTTTAAGATATAGTTTCCAAACACTCCAATTCTTCTTGTCAGATTTGCTTAATAGTCCGCCATAAAACACTAACCAAGTGAATTTTTACTCTAGCTATTCTAAGAGTCTTTCAAGCAGCCCTTAGACACTCTTCTTCAACTACTTTGCCCTCTAATTTTCCTATTCACCTTTATATTGCATAAAACACTTAAATACCAATGTAAAATATAAAGAAACACAACTAAAGATAACAATGAAATAAAAATAATACACACATTTGATACTTATAAAGTAAGTCATAATTCTTTGATAGAAAGATTGAAGATTTCTACTAAAATCAAGAGATTTATGATATGATCATGCAAACAACACACATTTAATGCAAGTGCAAGAACAAACGATTGTGGAGATAATAGCGAGGTGGTGGAGATAAGAGAGAAGGAGAAAGAATGGAGTTTATTTTGGTTAACATGAAAATTTGAAGTTGAATGTTGAAGTTGAGGTCGAAAGTGTTGAATAGAACATACCTGAGAGATGAAATGGTGGTAAATAGTGTGATTTTCGTAACTCTCAGAGGAATTTGACTACCATTATGCCCACCACGTTTCAATAAATAGAAATTATTTATTGAGAAGAAAAAATAGTTAATTGTTAGTTATAATCCAAAAGAAAATAAAAATAGGTTTGGTGTTTGAAAATAAGTCTAGTAAACTCACTCAATGTTCACTCAATGTCATGCTTTCATGAGTTTTATAATTTCATCTATGCCATCTATTATAAATAGGACATAAAATAATCATAAAACTACCACATTTCTTAGAAATCACATTAATAACCAAAAAAAATACCAAAAGCTAAGAAATAAAGAGCTCAATCAGAATTAACTTTAGTGACAAAAATGAAAGTTAGAGAGACCATAATATTTATATTCTATTTATTGGAGTGTCATCTTCCTTGATGCCAATTGATAAATTTACCCATTCAAACTATATGAACATATCTTGGGAGTTGACATATCTTCACTTGAAAGTTCAAAGACTAATACCCTCTAGCATATCTCAAAGTACATAATATTTATACTTAAGCACACAACCGGATATGCTTTTCATAAAATTTTTAACGGCCCATCAATAGCGCCGCCTTGGGCCAAATGTGGGCTGCTTTGGGCCTTGATAGTGCTGAGAACACCTTTTTCTGTTCGTTGTACAAAAATTTGTTAATGTTAAGAAAATCATGCATTTATTAATAGTCATTTACATATATACCATCCAATTCCTATCTATTCACATGTCCAATGCCTAAGCTTTATTTTTTTATATTTCTACCACCCGAATTTCTTATATCACGTAAAA